GCTGCACTCCAGCCAGGGCAACATAGCAAGACCCCATCTCCTAAAAAATTTTTTTTTGAAATGTATATATCATTTGACTTAGCAATTACTTCCATTAATTTATCCTGAGAAAAATGGAACAAGTACACAGATATATACATCGTATATAAGGCTGTTCACTGTAGTATTATTTATAATACTGCAAATTGGAAATATTTAAATGTCTATAAACATGGAATTGGTTACTAAGTTACAATGACATACTACATGAGAATAAAAATTATGATGAAGATCTATGTTCACTGCCGTTAAAAGATATGCATGCCTCACTGTAAAACAGAAATTTTATATACAATCTTATATATAATCTGTTATATGTAAAACATTAAATAGTATATTTTGACAGAAATGGTTTTAAGACATTAAACACTATTAGAAAGCTTCTTTTGGAGTTTGGGGAAGGAACTCTATATTCAGTGTATGCACTGACTATAAGCCTACCTTCACAAACTTTAAAAAGAGAAAGAAATATGTGTAAAAGTACTAAGGAAATAAAGCATTTCTATATTTCTTCAATATTATGAACATGTTGGGAATATTAGGAAGAATGTTCACCTAAACACTGATATTGTTTTTGCCTGATTTATAGTGTTTCACATGACTTTTATGTACTTTTATGTATTAAAATTTCTCTAGCTTATATATTTTTTTATAATGAGTATCATTTTAAGAAGCAAAACAAATCAGTAAGGACATTTTGTGTTTAAAAATGTATGACACTTCTAGATACACCATTTCTCTGGCCAGCTGAAAACTTTGACTTATGATAGAAAGTAAAAAAATTAGCATATGAACACTCATTCTAGAAAATGTGAGGTCATTCTGGTCTTGACTGTAGCCTCCCAAGTTAGGTCTGAGCTCGAGTTGCTGCCAGGTGTTCTGTGCACTCCGGGTACTACGACCAACTCCTCTGACTTCCCAGGTTTGACCTCTCCCAGCAGCCCCCAGGCCGTGGCGCCCTGATGGCTGGCTGCTGGAATGCCCCAGAAGAGAAGCATCCTCCCAGCACTGCACAACATCCTCCCCGGCTGGGCAGCACCGCCTGAGCCACTGGCCCTTTGTTTCAGCCCTGGGACGAGTCAATGTGAGCAGGAAGCACCCCCAGCACAGGCCCGTGGTGAGTCAGGGGAAGCAGGACCTAGAGCAGCAGGGAGGGGCCACCTGTAGGTGGCCGAGAGCCAAGCTGGGCTTGAGGACAGCAGGCAGAGAGGCAGCTCTCCCAAGGACAAAAGTTGCAAAAGCATTTCTACTCTCCATGACTTCAATGTTCAAATGCTTGTCATCCTCCCCTAGCCCCCAGATGTGTTATGCCCAGACACCCACTTAGAGAGAAACGCTTATTGGGAAAGAGTCAAACATATCACCTTAATCTTTTCATAATGGGAAAGGGGTTAACCGAAGTCTTTTTACCTCACACGCCTAATATGTAGCCTGGTTCTAGGGCCAGGACTGCAGGCCTCAAACAGTCTCATTTATTTGATCTGAAAAACAGAAAACTAAACACCAGACTCAGTTGACTTTTTTTTTTTTTGGTGGGAGTTGGGGGTGGGAAAGAAGGGGAGAGAAAAATCAGACTGAGTTACACAAGACTACAGAGCACACTGGAGTCAGTAAACAGTACATTGGACATACAAACCTCCACCGGTTAAACCTTGAGCAAGTGAGTGAGCCTTAGTTTTCTCATCTACAAAGTGGAAATAATATCTGTCCTTTCTATTTTGAATGATTGGGGGAGAATAACATTGACATAATGCATGTAAAAGTGCTTTGTAAATTGAAAGGCACTATTATTTCATCACTGGTGTTTGGAGAAGAATCACTTTATTATACTAAAGACAATGTACTTGCCCACAGCTGGGTACACTGTAGAAACTTAGCAAATGTTTGTTGAGTTGTCTGGAGAAAAACAGGACCAATAACTTCAGAAAAATAAAGCAGAGACTCAGTATGGGAAAGCCTGAAAAGACGATCTATTTCAGAGTTAAAAAAAATATATGCTAGCAAAAAGCAGAAGGCAGGAGAGACCTTGTCTCTCACATGTTATTTTATAAGCACAAGACAATCATCTTCAGGAAAGTGAACACATGTTGAAGAAAGGCAACGACATTGTATCTATAAATTATCAATCATGTGGGGACTGCCAAGGATTTGTTCTTGGTCACAAAGTTCAACCGCCTTCTATTTTTCCCCAAATAAATTAAGAATATAAATCCAAGGCAAAACCACAACGAGTGACAATGTCAATTCCAGCAAAGGTTTGGAATTCAAAGTTAAGCCTCTCACAAAATATCTGGCTTGTCCTCTTAACTACAGAGAATTTTACAGTTTCACAAGGCAATGTATTAAAATGCTTACAGTCAACTTGATGAAAAAATCAAGACCCATCACACTAAAATCACATTCTAGCAACTCCTCTGGTGTCCAAAATATAGAAATTCTCATTTAGTTTCCATGATCGTGAAGGAAGGAGAATTTTCTGATAATGGATATTTACCCCTTTGAGTACCAAAAGGCTTTTTTTTTAAAAAAACTGTTCTAGATATAAATCTTGAAACGTTATTTTTCATACTTCCTTGTTTTGTTAAAAGTCTCTTAATCTGATCTTTAAATTTTATTTTTGAGTTTTTCAAATTACTAGCAACTTTTTTTCCATTTCAATAGATTTAGGGGGTAACAAGTGTTTTTTGTGACATGAATGAATTGTATAATGCGGAAGTCAGGGCTTTTAGTGTACCCATCACCAGAACAGTGTACATTGTACCTGACAGGTAGATATTAATCCCTCAACCACATTTCATCCTCCCCCTTCTTAGTTTTCAATGTCCACTACATCACTTTATTGGCCTTTTCTTTTTAAAGCAATCTATATAACCATATATTACCACCCTCTGCTATTTATAGCTATGCCCCCAGGTGTCAGGTGTCTGTCCTGTCCATGGTGATTCTAGACTGCTGTATTTTAATTCTTCCACCTCCTAGCTCCCAGCAGCTATCACTTCACCAAATTCATCAGTGTCATTCCCACTTACTGCCTCATTTGACGCTTAGTTCAAGTCTGGGGCTCCAAGGGGCTCCCCACAGAGGAAAGTGCATGGGCTATGTGAGGGTCCCCAGCTGCTTTAAAGGCTGGGTGGCTTAAAGTACAGCTTTCAGCCAAGTGGGGACCTTCTACATAACCCCATTTCAGACACAATTGTTCTTACCTCCGTAACTGTAGAAAGTATCTTTTTCTCTTGTTCCAATGACTGTTCCCAAGATATCTACCTGTTTTATTGGATGTCCATTGTATAAAAATATACCTAAAATTAAAAAAAAAAAAATCAAAGTCTATATAATGTATGACTACATTTTCTGCTTCATTAAATGTTAACTCAGGGTGGGGGGGAGGGTGAAAAATCAGTAGCATGCTGTTTACTGAAATTCCAGACTTTAGAATCAGCCCTTAACAAATGGCAAGTCCCAAGAAATTCAGATGTCTTTTCCTCAAAGGTCTTAAGTAGAAAGCTTGGATTTAAAGAAGCCTGTACTAGTACAAAAAAGAGACAATCAGCATTACCCAACTAGATTTCGTTAATTTGCTCTCCACTTGTGAAAGTGAAATGTACCTCCGTGTGGAATGCTTACAAGGGGCCCGAAAACAGTCATTACAGGATGGGACCAAACACAGTGTTGTACTTTGAATGACTGGAAAAAGGACAGAGAAAGAAAACCGTGAGAAAGGTTTCTTTGGCATGTTTTAACAAGTGCTTTTCTAAGAAACCAGTCATCATTTCTTTGAACTGGCAATAGAATTTTTTTTAAAAGATGGTAAGTAGGTTACAAAACCCTACTCTTTGGGGCCAGCAGATTACAACTCAAAAACTTCTCCTTTTAAAACTCTATTTTCAAAACCTAGAGGACAGATGCCAGCACATAAGTTCCTGCCAGAGGAGAAACCTGAGAGGGGGAAGCTACCCACTGACACCCAGAGGCCTTTTGCTGACTTGGGGACAGGACACAGGCAGAGGGACTCCTGGGGGCTGGGGGCGGTGAGTCCCTGACGGTGCCAGGGCTGTCCTGGCTCCTGCAGAGCTTCCCTTCTGCCCCAGCCCCACCCCAACATCCTCACCTGAGCTCCCCGTTTAAGCTTAAGCTGCTTGTGCTGTGTTCCTGTCACCTGCAACTCAGCAGTCTCTGCCTAACAGCCGTTTGAGCCCCCTTTCACCCTTATGATGGCTGAATTCTTCACTTTCAGAAACAGGTTATCAACTTTTAAATGGCGATTTCCTTTTTAAATAAATATATGAATTGTAAACTTGATCACTTCAGGTATTTGGCCACCTCTTCCCCTCACCACCAAGCCTGGTCAGAGCCTCTATTCTCCCCATCCATGGGGGGCCCTGCGGCCTGAACCCCAACACCCTTCAGAACCCCCAGATTGGCCTCTGCAAGTGGTTCTGTTTTCCTTACAGACAAAGGAACTGGGGAACAGTCGCTTAAGGCAGAGTCCAAAGTACAGAGGAGCAGCCTTGGTGCCTCAGTTGGACAGAGAGATGGTAGGAGAGTGAGATGTGGCTTGAAGAAACAAAAGGTGGCAAATTTAGCCAAAGGCAAGACCCGCTCCCTCCCCAGAGGCACACCTCTAAAGATGTCTTGGTGATTGGAGACCAGTGCCAAGGTGATCTTGGGGAGCATGAGCTGAAGATAGCAGGGCCACAGGAGGGAAGGAGCTGGGTCACTGTGTCACCCCAAAGGAGAGCTGCCCCATCCAGGAACACTTGGATTGAATGAGGACAGAGCAGCTGCATAGAAAATCCATGAAATTTTAAGACCTGGCCAGTTCCAGTTAATTTTTCCTGAGTTCTCGCAATTGAAATCTAGGTCTCTCCCACAATGCTGCTGGTGAGACCCTTCAGTCCTCTGCCCCTGCTGCCTGCATTTACCAAACACAACAGGGACGGGGGCCTGCAGAGGAGGGAGATCCTTGTGATATGTGTAGGCAAGGTCAGGCTTCCTTGTGGCAGAAGCAAACTTAAAATCAGGAGAATGAGCCTCACCCAGGGATGCCCTCCACTGAAGCACCCCCCACCACAACGCCCTGGCGAGCTCACATGCAGATCAGGGGTGAGGCACAGCGCTGCTTCGGTCCTCTAGGTTTAATGCTGCAGGGCCAGGTGCGGCCTACTGTGGCCCAAGTTCCAGGCTGATCCCTGGCTGCAATCAGCCCTTTCTGCTCCCCTAAATGCACTATATAGGTAAGGCCACTTTCTATTGGCACACCGAGCAGAGCAAAATCGGAGAACTATTTTCTAGAAACTGGCTGGCCTCCCCTTCCCAGCCCAAGTGATGGTCTGTCCTGGCTATCAGGTTCTTGTCTGGGTAGACATGGAATCCTCTACAAGGTCAGTGTGGCCCACAGTGCACTGGCCATCACAGACGGTGCTGCAGAGCCATTCAGACACATGGAGGACTTGCTGCCTGCCACCCACATGTCTCTCCAGCTGGTCCTGGAGCAGGAGGGTGCTCTGCTGGTGATGTCTGAAAGTCCCAGAACTCTTCGGGTCTTCCTGGGAGATCCTGCTATGTATGACTGTGGTGGTTTTAATAACAAAGAGCTGACAAACTTCAAGATGGGGAAAAGAGCTGCACAAAAGGTGTTCTGCATGGGCTGAAGTCTATGGAAAAGGCAGTGAGAAAACTGGACTAATGGCACCAGCCAATGAAGTCCTCAAGTCACCTGTAATGGAGGCCAGTCCTCTGATGCTACAAACTCTGTATTTGACAACACTTCATAAAAATCTGAACAGGCCTTCACTTGAGGACACAGTAGACTTTCTTAAAAAAGGACAGAAAAGCGAGCCCTTGTAAACTTTCATCTCACAGACTGACGACAACGGCTCGTCTTCAAGGACAAATAGGGTCACCCGAGGATGCAACAAAATCCTCCCAATCCCAAGTGACTGATGCAAGAAACATCTTAAAATCATCACAGAACAATGGAGAACAAGTTCAGAAAAAAAAATAACACACGGTTCGAATAAAAAAACTTAGAAAAATCAATAGAGGAGGAAAAACACTGCTTAAAAATACAGAAGAAAGCTCTCTAAGTATATAGAAACATGAACTACACGTATCAGATGCACAGCCTCTGCAAGAAGATGGAAAAAAGACATGGAAAAAAGAATGAGAAGAGAATCACTTTCTCCTATCAGAACAAGATCCCCTTCCACGAGAAGAGAGCTGAAGAAAGTTGGATGGCAACTCTGCTGACAAGAGAACGCTCGATGAGCTCAGAAAATGATCACAACAAATACCAGTGGCTGTTCTGTTCCCGTGGTTCCACGTGCAGCCCACAGAGGCCTAAATGTCCTCTGGACCATCAGGTCCCCAAAAAGGAGGACCAACCTGTGACGGTTCAGGGATCCAGGGTCACCGGCATATTTGATTCAAGCTTTCAAGCAGTCGATCCTGAACATCCACAACCACAGCAAGACATTTGCCTATTTTCTCTTTTAAAAAGTACTTTTGATTGATCATTTTAGTTTAACTGTTATTATTTGATATTATAATTGCTCATACTTAAGTTTGATAGTATTAAAATGCCTACTATTTTTCAAATATATGTTTATTTAATATAATTCTTATAAACATATTATTTCTATTTCATTGTACCCACTAGAATGATGGGTGTAAGTATTATAGCTAATTTAAATAAAAGTTTCATTATTATTTAACCCATTGTTAAAGTTTAACATGCATAGCGATCTATAAAACAATAAAGACCACTTCTGTAGGTTGTGAGCTGTTATTAAAAATGAATTGTTTTTTTAAATGAAAAAAACCCCACGAAAACCTAAACACTACCACCACCACAGTCAAATTTATCGATATTTTTTATTAGTTCACCCTAAATTCAGGTTTAGGGGAGCTGACATTTTGTAATTATTTGCATTTTACAATGCAATTCTGACACTAACTACCTAGAGTTAGGTCAAATTTCACAGGTTAAGGACAGTCCCCCACAAGACTGCCCTCACTTCAGTAAAGTCACTTCTCACTAGCCCAAATTTGGTGAGGATCCTCAGGCTATCTGCACTACTGACCAGCTGGCTACAAATCTGAGAGTTCCCAAGACTCCCTCAGGTCTGGTAATTTGCTAAAATGACTCACAGAACTCAGGAAGGGGCTATACTTATGATTGTAGTTTTATACATAAAGGGTACACATGAGGACCAGCCAAATGGAGAGAAGCACAGGGCAAGGTCTGGGAGAGTACAAAGCTTCTGTGTCCTCAGGACACATCACCCTCTGACACATCAGTGTATGATTACCAACCAGGGAAGCTCGTCTGACCCCAGTGTCAGTTTTTACTGGGGTCTCATAATGTAGGCACGATTAACTGAATCATTGGACACATGACTGAACTCAATCTATAGCTCCCCGCCCCCCACCCAGTCCTGCGTAGGACTGATATAACCTGGCTCAAAACCCCAACCCTTTAATCAGATAGTCTATCTTTCGGGCATGGACAGCCCCTTCCCATCCCCACAAACCCCCCACCCCATGTCCTGAAATTACCTAGGGGCCCCAGCATGAGATACCTCATTAGCATAAACTCAGGTGTGCTTCAAGGGGCCAGCATGAATAATGAAGACACTCTTATCACTCAAGAAACTATAATTTAGAGGGTCCCCGAAAGAACCAAGGGCAAAGGCCAGCCAAATTCTTTATCACGCAACATATTTGTTTCATATTTTATCATTTTGGGGGTTTAACCTTTGTTATTTTGTTTAAGACATTCTTTGCCATTTAAAGATTCCTAAATTTTATGCAGTCAAAAGTTTTCTCTTTACGGCAAATCTAACCAAACCAAACCCAACAACAATACAAAAACCTAGACTAGTGGAATTCCCCACCCCTTGGAAGCCTATGGTGTAGGCTAAAGAAGATGACTCTATGAAATGATGGCTGATGTCTGCTTCAACCATTGAGTTTTCATTTTAAAAAACACATTAAAAACATTCTCACCAGTGAAAGAGCAAAGGCAAAGATCACTGGTCCCTGTTTTCCTTGGTTTGTTTTTAATACATCATAAAGTCCCTTGCCCACAGGAAGAGTTAAGCTCCTATCATGTCCCTGACACTTGCGTGCTCACCCACAGAAGATCTTTAAGCAAGGCTGGCATTTGGTGTCAATTAATTTCTTCCTGAGGAGATGAACTATGAAGAATACCAGATTGTTCTGGAAAATGGAAAGCTGTGGAGGAGGCTGGCTGCCTTCCAAGGGAAAAAACAAAACAAAACAGACCATTTCCAACAATAATCAGGAAATAAAGGTGTGGTGAAAAATCTGCACAAAAGGCTAGAGTGTAAGGTCATCCAAATATATTTGTACATAGAGCTGGAAACAGACAAAACCTCATCTCATTAAAAATGTGGACACTTGAGATTCCTGACTACTTCTGACTCATAGCTTGCTATTCAGAAGGCGCTTCACTGGAAAGCCTTACTCAAAATAACAAAAAGAGTTTAACCAAACTTCTCAACTAGCACAGTAAACACGTGATGATCCACCCACAGCTACGTGAATTATTTAAATCTACCCAAACCTGAATTTGTTGTATTTTTAGGTATGATAAGCTTGTCGTTAGTAACCCCTACTCTCATTTAAAAAAATTCTTTTAAACTTCACATTTATAATGCCTTGTTGCTTCACCTGCTATTTCTTGAGGGCTCGCTACATGCCAGGCACTGCTCTAAGCGCTGGGATTAAAGGTGAACAAGGCAGATGATGTCCTCCTTCTCAGGGAGTTTATAACATTTTGATTCTGATTAATTCAAAACAAAACAAACCCTCACAAGAAAATCAGGCATGGTTAAGCCCCATTTTTACAAAGAAGAAACCTAAGCTTTACAGAAGATGAGTCATACGCGCAGCTTCATGCAAGGCGAGTCACATGCTCAGGCCAGGTAAGTGACAGAGTTAGGCAAAGGAGCCAGGCCTAGGAATGCCTGGTCGGGTGATCTTTCCACCAAGAGCAGGTTCCAAAAAAGACAACTGAACGGTTTTAAATATGAAAGACCCCAAACACAGGTAAAAACATTCCTCATTACAAAGGTTACACCCCAAAACACCTATTAAAAAAAAATTAATCTGTTTTTACCTTACAAAGAAATGAACTCTTTCGAAGGTCCAGGCTAGGTCATTTTCAAAGCCTGCAGCAGGAAAGGCTCTCCTGAAAGCCCCTAATCCCAGCTTTCTGCAACTTTAGGGGACAGAGCCCAGGCCATCCATCATGCTGAACAGCCACATACCTGGCACCTGGCGGGACTCCTTTAAATCCAGGATGTCCTTGACGTAGAGTTTTGCAAAGGCTAGAAACACAGGATCCAAACCCCACAAGAGGGAAGGGGTCTCCTCTTCACACTGGCTGGATTCAGACTGCATCAGGAGGCTGGGCTGTGGCTTCCAACCAACCCTGAAAGGATGTGTATCACTGAGTCAAGGATCTAGATGAGAGACACAACGATCAGGATGTGAGGTGTTTAATGCGGGTGAAACTGGCATGGCCCCCCAAGTTGCTCCCAGGTGGGCGTCCGGATTCGGGGGGAGAGGGGGTAAACCCAAGGGTCCAGGGCCCAGTCAAACGCTATGCCACGAGGCGTGGGGAGAGGCGTTCCTCGTGCGAGGACCCGAGTTCCTCATGGCTCGCCCATTATTCTCCTTCCCCAAAAAGACCAACTTCGAAATGGCTAAACACCAACTGTTCACTTTGGGGAGAAACGTCCATACGGACGTACTCTGAAACCGCTTTATATGGGTGGGGTCCAGGGAGGAATGGGCGCCTTCGTGGCCACGCACGTGGCTGGGGCACGGTGGGTGGGTCTGGTTGTCGCTCTGCCTCTAGACCTTCCGCTTTTCGGGATGAGCCGAGAAAAAGAGGAAAAAGGAAACAACAACAACAAAAAAATGGGCCCGCCTGAGGCCCCTCCCGCCGCCGGCAGCTCCCAGCAGCGCGCAGCCCCGTCCCTTCCGGCTCTCGGAGCCGCGCGGAGACAGCCCCGCCCAGCGCAGGAGCTCTGGCCTCTGGAGTTCCGGCCGGCCCCCTCCCATCCCGGCACCGCCCCGCGCGGGGGACTAACCCAGGGTTCCCCGCCTGCACGGTTCCTTCCTGCGGTCGCGCTTCGCCACGGCTCCGCCCAGCCCGCCGAGGCCCCGCCCCATCCTGCGCCCCGCCGAGGCCCCGCCCCAGCCCGCTGAGGCCCCGCCCCAAGCTCAGCTGTAGGTGGCTGTGGGGCTGCGGGGCGTCCTTTTGGGTCAGGCAGGACCCAAGTCGCCGGAAACCTCGCAGCTGGCTCTGAAATTCCTGCTGCTCAAACCCTGTCCTCCAAGTCACCTTTTCATCCCATCCCCTGCTGGTGACGGGACCCTAAATCAGGATCTCCAAGAGGTTGGGATAGGATCAAAGTATATATATATATATTTTTTGGCCCCTAATATGTTAAACAAACAAAAAAATAAGGCAGTGCAAAAAGGAGGGTTGCAATGTGGGATATGTTAAATGTTTATTTACGGTTGGTAAATGATCTACTGACATACACGGACTGGGATTCTACAGTTTCACTTGGAGATAATGTCAGTATCTAAATTTGAGCCGTTGAGTAAGGTCTTGACTCTGCCAGGCACTAGCCCTGCAAAATCATGCAATGTATTTTGTCTGCTTTCCTCTTACTGGGTCTACAATCTGGAAAGTTGTACACTTAAAAACTTTGAAAAGTTGGCATTTTGGTAAATCATGGCCACCTTGATGGTGCTTAGTCCCCAGGAGTTCTAATTTAAAGTGAGAAAAGATAGCCACGTTCCACTCCCATAAAGAAGCTATGTGCAGACATTACTCCAAATGGCAAGAGTTCTCCCTAATTTACAGGTACTCTGGAAAATGGCAGGAGGATTACAGGTCACCGGGCAGACCATTCTGGGGGAGGCAGGTTGTGGCCAAAGAGATAATTGCTAAACTATTTATCAGAGAAGGAACTCAAAGCAGCTGGGATGGAAAATGTGTCATTAAAACCATGGCATTTAATTACCTCCCTGGCCACTGAGAAGCTAAAAAACAGAGTCCTTGGTAGAGTACAGCATTTCCCAGATACTACTGCAATGAACGGTTGAGTCTGTAGCGTTTAAGATTTAGTCAAGAAAAGCCACCCTCTCTTATAGGAGGCAGGCTGTCATCAAGGAAACAAGGAAACACACCCAGCAGGACAGGTGCTTCCTGCTGACCTGTCAGATGGGGAGAGACAGGTTGGGTGACATTTTCCTGACTGCACACATCTACTACAGGGTGGAACCCAAGAAGAAAATCACTATTGGGTGTACTCAGAGTCAGATGATTTCAGGAATGACTCTCCTGGCTCTCAAGGGTAGAGTGCTGGATATAAGAGCCCTTGGGGACTCCACGTTTACTGCCAGCCTTAGGGAGGGCCACACTCATGTGGTGTAAGCAGAGCAGACTGCCCTGATGCCTTCTTTTACAATGAAGGGAGGACTCTTTGGAGTCTAGGGGTATTCCTTATCATCTGAGCCCAAAATCTGAAGGAGTAGGTTGTAAATGAAACCTAAGGTGAGATGTAGAACAGAATTTCCAGACTGCGGAAGCATCTAGACGAATTTGGGAGGATCCTCTTCCCTTCAGTTTCCATCACGCAGATTCCAGGTTCACCAAACCACTGCCTGGACACAAAGGGACTCCTGAAATCTTCGCCAACACTGCAGGGTTCTGCAGCCTGAGATTCTGCAGCACTGCAAAGTAGATACTTCAAAACCCAACATTTAACACTTAATGCCAGGAACTCTTTCTTATGGCTTCTCATTGTGAAACTTGGTAAATTTGGTTTCGCAGACATTTTTCACAGAATAGACAATCATTTCTAGAAAGTTAAGATTTTAACAAATTGTTCTAGAAAATGAGGGGATTGCGTGCATATCTCATACCTCAAAGCTCAAACTATCTTGTTTTGAACATTTTTGACATCTTATAGGTACAATGGAGTTTGTCTACTTGCAACTTGGGTTAGATTTTCTGCTTAAAGTTTATGGTTGACGAAGATTTTCTCCTTGACCAAACCCTGATCAGGCTCCTTTGAGGCCTCTTCTCAGTTAGGCCTCAACTTTAGCCTATGAAGACTTGAACAAACACTAGCATAGTTTCTGACAGCTCAAGGCCACATTCCTAGGATGACCCTAGCCCCCTATAAAGTGCCTGCCTGAGAAAACTCAAGGCCGCCAAAAGAATGCACTATTTGTTCCGACCAACACCTGAAGACAGGGCCTCTGTCTCCCAGTCTTTGTGGGAGGGTAGGAGCATAACTTCAGTAAGCACCAGTTAGCAAATGCAGATGGGTTTCACATGGACCAAGCCCCTCCCTTCCCACATTTTGTAATTTGTCACTTCTCAGACTCTGCTCAAGCCCCAGCTATTCCTCCCCAATCCCCCATCACCCGCTCATTTTCTCTTTAAAAAGCCTGATTACCTCTCTACAAATCTGAAGGGAACTCAGTTCTTCTGCTTATTGTCAGTAGTTACTGAATAAAATCTGTTTTCACTGCTTTAAAGTGTGGCTGTGTTTATCTGACATTAATAAAGACAACTTATTAACATTCTAATTATGTTAATGTTACAACCCTGGGGGAGACACCTTCAGTGACTCAGCATACCTTTAGCTCTGTCTGTGTACTTTGGCACTGGGCTGTGTGGGGGCTACTAATTATGTCACTAGAGCACAAAGAATGAAGCACCTAATATATTAAACAACAAAGCAAGAGACTAAATTGTGATTAAATACAGAATGAGTGGCCTGGATAATAACTACCATATGAATTACAGGAGTAAATGGAGGGGCCTCATTAGGTGAGATAACAGGAACCACTGGAACAAGGCAAGCAATCAATGCATAGAAGCTATTATTTGCATTCACTATGGAGGTGGGATTTAAGCTGGGCTTTGACCCTATGGAGGAGCTGTTCATTCATTGATTCAGGAAGCATATTTTTTAAAGCACTTGTCAAGCACTGTCCTAGATAACACAGATTGGGGTTCCAGCCCTTGTGGACCCTCCATTCTGTTGGGGGAAAAGGAAAGGACAATAAACAAATAAATGAGTAAGTACAGCTTGTTCTCAGTGCTTTGAAAGAAAAAAGTTTTTTATGATTGTTCAAAACGGGGTGAGGGATCTACTTTATATAGATCTGCTTTCATCAGATGCGATGAAGTGACATTCAGGCTGAGACCTGAAGGGTAGGAAGCAGCCACCCCACAAAGAGCTCAGGAAAGAACATTCCAGTCAGCAGTCAAAGCAAGGGCTACTCTCTGGAGGCAGCAAAGTACTTCTGGGTTCAGGAACAGAAGAGAGAGTGCAGGAGTGGTTGTGTAGGCAAGTGGAGAGGTAAGCAGAAGGCAGATCCGAAGGACCTTGTAGGCCATGACAGATTGGGAGTTTATTCTTAATCTCCCCATATGTAAGGGGGTATAGTATTGTGATGGGTGGGAGCAGGGCAAAGGCAGCAGGGTGAGCAAGTTGTGTTCACTGGCAAGCCCACCCAGCAGCCTGGCTGGAGAGGGCAGCTGCAGTGAAAGCCGGCTGGGGACCAAGATTTTAGCTAGGCTCTGAAGGACTTGAATTAGCTTCTACTTTTATTCCTGGTAAGCAATAGGGTGTTGTTAATTACCGAGCAGAGGAATGATTTAACGAGTTAAAAAATTGTAGGTATACCTGCCACATCTAACATACTATGGTAGGGAGTACAAAAATATATAAGAAGTGTTTTCAACTCAATATACTGAATCTATCCTAAAAATTGTGTCTTAGGGTTATCCACCAATTGATGGTGAAGAAACTGGAAGAAAATATTGTTGGACTCATGGCAGTGGGTCTCGCCTATATCACTTGTTCTCCTGCCTCCTCAACAACTTTGTTCAACCCCCTATGAGGTTACCCACCCTCTCCCTCTGGCTTCTTGTTGGCACACAAGCATGCTCTCCTGCTCTCTTTAAATGTCATCCAGCTTTAAGAAAATAGTTGGCTCACACTTGTGGTGGCTCACACCTGTAATCCTAGCAATTTGGGAGGCCAAGGCGGGAGGATTGTTTGAGGCCAGGAGTTCCAGACCAGCCTGAGCAAGAGCAAGACCCCATTTCTACAGAAAATAGAAAAATTAGCTGGGTGTGGTGGCACGTGCCTGTAGTCCTAGCCACTTGGGAGGCTGAGACAGGAGGATGGCTTGAGCCCAGGAGTTGGAGGCTGCAGTGAGCTATGATGATGCCTCTGCCCTCTAGCCTGGGAGACAGAGACCCTGTCTCCAACCCCTCCCCCCACAAAAAAAACCAGAAAGAGAAAAGAAAGAAAGAAAACAAACAGCCTCTCCGAAGACCTAGGCCCCTTTAACTACTACTGCCCTTTGGTTCACTTTCTTCCTCTCTTTCAAAGCTAAGCTCCTTGGAAGAGTCCTAAGCCTCCTCTATCCACACTTCCCTATGGTGTTTCTCAAATTCAACCCACCATCGTTCATCTCCCCTTATTCTTCCCCCAACCCCACCCCAGCCTCCCACCCCGCTGACACTGCTCTCTGAAGGTTTACAATTACCTTAGGAGATTCAAATTCTCAAATGCAATGGATACTTTTCTTTCCTTATCATTCTTCAGCTTTTTTTTTTTTTGATTCTCTAGCATTTGATTTTGATTTGATCATATCCTCTCATACCCTGCCTTGGCTTCCTCGTATCATCCTTTCTGGTTTTCCTTCTATCTCTCTGTTTCTTCCTTAGTGTCCTCTTCTACTGTTTATGTCTTACATGTTGATGTTCCCCAAGTTTCCATCCTCTGCTCACTTCCCTTCTCACCCTATGAATTCTGAGTAGCGTCATCCAAAAACTAATATTCCAGCGACTCTCAATTCTTCATATCTGGCCCAGAACTCT